GGACTCCCTCAGCCACCCAATTGCTTATGTGAGTAAAGCTCTTGGACCCAGAAACCAGACACTTTCAGTTTATGAAAAGGAATATTTGGCTATCCTCCTAGCAGTGGAACACTGGCGTCAGTATTTGCAGTTGTCTGAGTTCACCATCAGAACTGATCAGCGAAGCTTAGCCTGCCTGTCAGAGCAACGTTTGCACACTAGATGTCAGCAAAAAGCTCTCACCAAATTGCTTGGGCTACAGTACTCCATTGAATACAAAAAAGGGGTTGAAAATAGTGCGGCTGACTCGCTTTCCAGACGACCTGCAACTGCTGGGGATGTTCTGCCAGAACTGCAACTGATTTCCTCTACTCAGCCCGCTTGGTTAGTAGATGTGCTGAAGAGTTATGAGCAAGATCCAGTTGCTGTGGAACTTCTACAACAACTGTCCACGCCTCCTAACTCTCACAGCAAATTTTCTCTCAAAGCTGGAGTTATCAGACAGGGCAAATGTGTTTGGCTAGGTAGTGACTCAACACTGCACAACAAGATTTGTGTTGCTTTTCATAACAGTCCATTGGGAGGACACTCTGGATTTCCAGTCACTTATAAACGAATCAGACAGCTGTTCAGATGGAAGGGGATGCGAAGTTTCATAAAAGCTCATGTTCAAAGCTGCATAGTATGCCAGCAGGCCAAACTCAAGAGAGTTCCTTCGCCTGGTTTACTGCAACCACTGCCAATTCCTTCCCTGCCTTGGGAGATGGTAACCATGGACTTTGTTGAAGGATTACCTACATCTGGCCGTTACAACTGTTTGTTGGTGATCATTGACAAGCTTTCCAAGTACAGCCACTTTGTTCCATTGCATCACCCGTTCTCTGCTGAAACTATAGCTGAAGCCTTTCTGAATTCAGTCTACAAGTTGCATGGAATGCCTCGCTCTATCGTTTCAGACCGTGATTGCATTTTCACTAGCAAGTTTTGGAGTGGGCTCTTTCAGAAATCTGGGGTTCAGCTTCGCATGAGGTCGGCTCGCCATCCTCAATCTGATGGGCAGACGGAGCGCGTCAACCAGCAAGTAGAATGCTTCCTGAGATGCTTTGTCAGTGGACATCCGTCGCACTGGGCTAAATGGATTCCGGTTTGTGAATTCTGGTATAACACAAACTGGCATTCAGCTACTGGAAAAACTCCATTTGAGATTATCTATGGGCATGAACCGCGCCATTTTGGGCTATCGGCTGAAGGCACGATCCAGTCTGACGGTTTGCAATAGTGGCTCAAAGATCGTATGGTGGTCATGGATTCAGTCAAACAACATTTGCTCCGTGCCCAGCAGCGGATGAAACAGCAAGCTGATAAGCACCGTTCTGAACGCTCGTTTGAGGTTGGAGAACAAGTTTTCCTTAAGCTTCAACCCTACCTTCAGTCGTCTGTGGCTTCGCGAGCAAATCACAAGCTGGCATTCAAGTTTTATGGACCTTTTGAAATCGTGGAACGTATCGGCGAAGTGGCTTATCGTCTACGTCTTCCTGATACAAGCAAAGTGCATCCTGTCTTTCATGTGTCGCTGCTCAAGAAGGTGATCAAACCACAAGACCAGGTGCTCTCACATCTTCCTTCTCCAGATGATCAGTTTCAGGTGCCGGAGCAAGTACTGCAGCAGCGGGTGATTCGTCGTGGCTCTGACTCCATCGTCCAAGTTCTGGTCAAGTGGAGTTCGTCTCCGCTGGATATGGCTACGTGGGAAGATAAAGTCACTCTACAGCAGCGCTTCCCTCGAGCGTCGGCTTGGGGACAAGCCGGTTTTAACAGGGGAGGGATTGTCAGCGTCCAAGAGAAGGTTCAAACAGAGGACCGGCCCAAGAGGCAGCCTCGCTTGCCCGCGCGGCTGGCTGGGCCTGAGTGGGCCTGAGCACGACAATACTTATACTTGTATCCAGGATGATTCGAGTTGGCGATGGCATAACGGCTAGCGGTAGCGTGTGGTGTGTGTGTGCTCATGCGTGAGCCAAACCTTATCCCCCTGTAATCCTTCCTCTGCAATTCGAATTCCATGGTGATGGCCTAAACACAAACCCTAGACCTCACACAGACATGATAGCTCAGACTTCACACATCAGAAGAGGCAGGTCAACGCGGTGAATGATCGGCGAGATTACCGACGATGAAGAGGGCGGCGCGCCAGCCGCCGCGGCCGTCGCGTGGGTCCGAACTTGGGAGCGGCCGGCCTGACTCCATCTCTTCGCGCCTTGGCCTCCGGCCGGAGGTGGTGCCGGTGCGTGATCTATTCAGTTTGTGCCGTCTACCGGGCGTACCTAGCCAGAGATTGCAGCTGATCTTGGTAGTAGTAGCATGTGGCCCACGTGATTGAGAAGGGGCCTGTCAAGATCGAGTTAATATCTTATTTGTATTATTGTGAGTGTAGATCAAGACATGTTCCCAGATCGATTTGGAAATGAAGTACGAGATGTGGATCGATACGATTGTTTCTCCAATTTTCACCCAGTCTACATTACAAGCTCGCATTTTTTTGTGTACACGTATCGCTTGGAAAAATAGAGAAAAACCAGCACCTCCAGAGCAGCGACCCCGGCCAGAGCCCAGTAGAAGTAGTCGAGGTGCGCACGGTTGAGGTTGTCCGAGAACCAGCTCTCCCCCGTGCGCCTCGTCGCCCAGTCGATCGCCGAGACGAGCATACCGCTACCGTAGTTCCCCACGCCCATGATGCTCATGCAGAGCGCGAGCCCGACGCTTCGGAGGGCGTCGGGCACCTGGTCGTAGAAGAACTCCTCCAGGCCCACCATTGTGAACACATTAGCGAGGCCGAGCAACACGTACTGTGGCACCATCCACCACAGGCTCATCGGCACCGTCACCCCCGGACTGTCGACCAGGCCGGCGTCCCTCGCCGCGCGGAGGCGCGCGGCTTCCACGAGCGCCGCGACGGCCATGGCGACGGACGCGATGGCCATGCCGGCGCCGATGCGCTGGAGCATGGTGATCCCGGAGGGGTGCTTGGTGACGCGCCGAGCGAGGGGCACGAAGGCGCGGTCATAGACAGGGACGGAGGCGATGATGGTGAGGCCGACGAAGCTCTGCAGCGCCGCCGGGGGCACGACTAGGCCTGTGGTCGCGCCGATGCGCCGGTCCATGGTGCTGCCCTGCTTGGTGAACAGAGTGGACACCTGCACGATCACCATTGCGTACACGACGCTGGTCATCCATATCGGAAGCAGCTTCACCATGACCCCCTTGCCTTCCTGCTCTTTTGGCGTCAGTAAACTGCACTGGCATAAGCGTAGGTTAATTACAGTAATGACATGTGCAGCATGGCAGCATATACTAAATGCAGATCGAACTTACCATTCATCGTCCATGGCGGCGTCTCTGCGACGAAAGACAATGTCTGTCCATGCACGCACCGTGGCTGCAAGCGTTTTCGTGAGCCGCGCGAGAGCATGGCGGCCGCGTGGCTGCTCGGCGACACGGTACATGCTCGTGCCGAGCAAAAACAAGGACATGGACACAAGCATCATTGCCCAGCACGCGCCGAACCCGGCAGCCCAGCCGACGTTGTCCTGCACGTAGCTTAGCGCGACGACGGCGACGATGAAGCCCCAGGACATGGAGAAGTGGAGCCAGTTGAAGAAAGAGCTCCGGGACGCGATGCTGTCGGGGGAGCTCCGGGGGAACTGGTCCGCGCCGAGGGCCTGCGCGTTGGGCTTGTGGAAGCCCTGCGCCAGCGCCACCACGTAGATCGTGGCGTAGAAGAACGCCGCGCGGGAAGGGGACGCCGCCGGCGATACTGCTGGTTGAGGTTGACGTGGTGGTAGTGGTACCATGGATGACACCGTCAGCATCCCAAAGCTCTGTTCATAACGTAGTTTTTACTATTTTGAGCTGCTGGCATGTACAATTATTCACTGAACTGTATTGAATTACTAGGTTCAGATGGTATCGATTTCTCATAGCAGGAGGGTGACATAGGCTGCCGGCTGAAGTGAGACGATGCTAATTTTGCCATGGAACAGTTTTGGAATAGTGTATGGTTTTGTCACTTCCGAACTACACTAAAATGTTTAGAAGAGAAGGATGCTTTTTTTTTTTGGAAATGGGGAAGAGAAGGATACGGATCACATAAAGATGCCACCGTGATCATATGTTCCTACCACGACAGGTCAGGTACTAAACAGGTCCAATTGGACGACACAAATGATTAACATCTTGATGTCACAAGCACAAAAGGAAAACGATCGTAAACCTACCGTTCCAACCTAGTATAATATTTGAAAAATGAAACAGACGGCAAATGGACGTCGTGGAGGCAACTAAAAAACAGACAAAACGTCAAAAACTGAGAGCGGGTTCACCAACCAACCACGAGGTAGAGCACGCCGGCGGCCACGATGGCCCGGTACCGGCCGATCCACGAGTCGGCGGCGAGCGCGCCAAGGAGCGGCAGCATCGACGCCGTCCCGGCCCAGGCGTTCACGCCGGCCGCGGCCGCCGCGGTGGACAGACCCAGCGGGCCGGTGAGGTACATGATCAGGTTGCCCTGCACGCCGTAGAAGCCGACGCGCTCCACGAACTCCACCGCTGCAGGGCCATGGCGGGCGCGGGGGAACAGCTAGCCGTGGTCAGTGCTGGAACCGCGCGTCGGCGCGGGAGTTTGCGTGTTTGAGAGCCGGATGCAGATGAAGACGTACCTATGAGGAAGAGCGCGGCTGGCCATCCGCCGCGGCCGCCGGGCTTGCTGGTGGTTGACGGCTCACCCGGGGGCAGGAGCGCGCCGGAGTCCATTCCTTCCCCGTCTAGAAGGGAGTTCTGCGAAGTGCTACGTTTGGCGGGCCTAGGGAATGTGTAAGTGTAAACACACTCCTGCCGGCCTATGGAAACGTTAACAGAGTTGCTCCTCCTGCTTGCATCATGTATTAGCCTTCAGTAGAAGTACTACCAGTTAACCTTTTACTTTCCTTAAAAATTTATCCTTTAATTTTAATTTCGCAAATGGATCAGGTTTTTTTAAGAATACGCTAATGACATATCATATTTTTATTTAATAGAAGGGAGCAAAGTATGACTACAAAAAGACTGAGCATGATGCGGACAAAGGCTCGATGTTGGCGTACAAACGGATATGGAGTATGTGAGCTCGAGCTCACATGCTCTCGGATGAACTGTAAAATTGATGACGGCAAAAATAACAAATTCGATGCTCTCGGATGTTGATTTTGTTTTTTTCCTGACACATCCACAAGTGTGATTCCATCATGAAAATTTACACGCATGTAGAGAAATTATCAATGTTTCATGACAAAAAGATTTAGAATTTTATGAATATTTTTACTATTTTCTCAGAATTTACCGTTTATTCGGGAGCATATGAGCTCGAGCTCACAATAACACTTTCGGCATAGAAACCTATGAGACAAGAACCTACTCTCTCCTAAAACGATTTTTTTAGAGTACGCAATCGCGTACCTTAGCTTTATATAAGGCAGAAATGTGCACAAGAATGTGATACAAAGAGCCCAGGCGCCACACACTAGGCCACCCTCCGGCCCGAAGACTCCACTCCTAGCACTAAACTCGACTACTCACAAAATACATTGACTCCGGTACCTCCCGCCCTAACCCAAGTTTGTAGCTCATCGAACACTTGAGAGGTGAAAGTTGCTACGGTAGACACTTCTCTCCTAGGGCCGAAGACCATTCCGTTGCGATGCTTCCAAAGGTGCCAACAAACAATCATGATAAGTGAGTCGAACCCCTTTCTGTTCTCCTTCAGCATCTTCTTGCGGGTCTCCATCCACCAAGATATAATGGAGTCGTTGGTTGTAGGCACGAGCATGATGTTGATGCTGGCTCTCAAGAAGCAGCAGTGCCAGACTTGCCGAGCGAAGACACAGCGGAGCAAGATGTGGTCCACCGAGTCTTCCTCCTGATCACAAAATGTAGCAAGGTGAGATTTGGTCTTGCAGTCCGTGACGCAGGCGCCGATCTGCAATCCATAGTCTGTAATGAGTGGCCAGCCACATGAATAGGCGCCCAACATTTTCAAATTGCCATAGCTGGTGCAAAACGGATGCTTCCCTGCCACATCATCTCATAGGCTGATTTAAGCCTCCTGCTCCTACACCAACAAATGAGCCCACGATGCCTCGCTAGCTCTTGCTTGGGTGCCCCTATATGTTGATGGCCAGTTCTGGGTGCGGCCCTTTAAAATACTTGCTTGTACGTATTTCTATTTTTAAATATTTATTTCACTACTTTTATGCATATATAAGAATGTAGTTATTCAAAAGTGTTCCACATGTGAAAAGGGTGTTCATGTGAAAATGGATGCACAATATTATGAAATTAAATGTTTAAGTATTTTTTCTTAAATGTTCATACGTATTTTGGGTGGCGTACTAGCGAGACGATAACAACCTCATATTGCATTGTTGAATGATGTATATGTCGTAAGGCACACGCAATGTGCTTTCGTGTGTGAAACGATTCATCCAAGTTCAGTTAAGGAAAGATCCCTTCCGACTTTTTTTAATAAGATTCGGAGTTCTCTAGGATGCGTAATATTGTCAGACTAAATAAAGGACGAACAATTCATTCATGTTGGCCTAGGAAGAAACCTCTTCCGAGTTATTTAAATGAGATTCAGAGTTCTCTTGGGTGCGTAATAATATTATCAGGCTAAAAAAAAGTTGAATGATTCATTCAGGTTCAGTTAAGAAAAGATCCCTTTCGAGTTTTAAAATATTAATCATGTATAAAAAATATTTCGGGTGTAGGAAAATGTAGAATATATATAAAAAATAGACATCAAAACATATATTTTAAAATATTAATCATGTATTAAAAATGGTAAAGGTGTATAAAAACGTTTGAAAAATGTAAACATCAAGACATTGTTTTATTTTTTTTAAGTCTTGTTTCTTATTGGCACAGCGGCCCGGCGCAAGCGGAAGTTCAATGACGTTTGACTTCAGACAAAATTTGTACTGTTTGACTTCACACAAAAATTGTACTATCTGACTTCACAAAATTTTATTCTGTTTGACTTACAAAATTTATACACCTTTCTTATGCCCATATCCATATGGGAAGTTCAATGACGTTTTAAAAAAAAGTCGAATGATTCATTCAGGTTCGAAAAGATTCCTTGAGAGTTATTTTACGAGATTCAGTGTTCTCTTGAATGCACTATATTGTCAGGTTAAAAAGTTGGATGCTTCATTCGGGTTCAGTTAAGAAAAGACCCCTTCCAAGTTTTTTTTAATGAGATTCAGAGTTCTTTGGGATGCATAATATTGTCAGACTAAATAAAGGATGATTGGTTCATTCTGTTCGGTTAAAAAAAGACACCTTCAGAGTTTTTTTTACGAGATTCAGAGTTCTCTGGGATGCACTCTATTATCAGGCTTAATGATATCAAATGATCCATCCAGGTTCAGTTAGGAAAAGATCTTTTCCGAGTTTTTTTATTTTTATGATATTCATAGTTCTTTGGGATGCATAATATTTATTGTCAGACTAAATAAAGGACGAATGCTTCATTCATGTTCGCTTAAGAAAAGATCTCTTCCAAGTTATTTTATGTGATTCAGAGTTCTCTTGGATGCATAATATTGTCAGACAAAGAAACGTCGAGTGGTTCATCCAGGTTCAGTTAAGAAAAGATCCCTTATGAGTTTTTTTTTATGAGATTCAGAGTTCTCTGGGACGCATAATATTGTTAGGGCTAAAGAAAAGTCGAATGATTCATTCAGGTTCAATTAAGAAAAGATCCCTTTCGAGTTTTCTCTAGTGAAATTCAGAGTTCCCTTGGATAGTTGGATGCACAAATATTGGCAGGCTAGAGAAAATTTCAACCCCAAAATTTATGACAATCTACCTCGCACTCTATAACAATCTGAAAATTTTGCACTTTTTTTCGACTCTCTGAAAATTTCGCACTTAGTAATTACTTACACCTCTGGCGTAGTAGTACTAACCAGAATTAACAAGTTACACCAATGTAGCATCAGCATCAGCTCCCCTGTAATCGCCATTGCCCTCGCCCTCGCCGCTCTTCTTCTTGTAGACGTAAGCTCGCGAGAAGAAGAAGAAGGCGAGCAGCTCGACGACGCAGAGCCCGGCGAGCAGCCAGTAGAAGTAGTCGAGGTGCGCGCGGTTGAGGTTGTTGGAGAACCAGCTGGCGCCGCGCCTCGCCGTGGCCCTGTCGATTGCGGAGATGAGGAAGCTGCTGAGGAGGTGGCCCACCCCGAAGATGCTGAGGAAGAGCGCGAGGCCGAGGCTGCGCACGGCGTCGGGGACCTGGTCGTAGAAGAACTCCTGGAGGCCGATCATGGCGAACACGTCGGAGACGCCGATGAGGACGTACTGCGGCACCATCCACCAGAGCGTCATGGGCAGGTGAGTTGCCTTGGGGGCGTCCAGCAGGCCGGCGTCCCTGGCGACGGCGAGGCGCTTCATCTCCACGAGCGCCGAGAGCACGACGGCGACGAGGGAGAGGGAGAGGCCGGCGCCGACCCTCTGCAGCATGGTGATGCCCGTGGGCCGCCCCGTGTAGCGGCGCGCGAGCGGCACGAAGAGGCGGTCGTACGCCGGGATGAAGGCCACGATGCTGACGCTGATGAAGGTCTGCAGCGCCGCCGGCGGCACCTTGAAGTTGGGGCCGATCCGGCGGTCCAGCGTGGCCGCCTGCTTGGTGAAGAAGGTGGAGGTCTGGGAGAAGATGATGGCGTAGATTATGCAGGACGCCCAGATGGGCAGCAGGCGGAAGACGCTCCTCACCTCCTCCACGAGGTCGTCATCGGAGTTCTTATTGCCCTCGACCTTGCCGCTCGCCGGGCTGCACCAACGGTCACTCACGTTCACGTCAGAGTGATGCACAATATATACGTACATGAGCAATAACCATGAACGCTATGGTACATACTTGGTGCGGTGCTTTGATCTCCAGCTCTTGATGAGCACCAGGAGCGCCTTGCCGACGCGGGCCACGGGGCTGGGCTCCTTGCTGGTGTAGTAGCGGTAGGACGGAGTGCCAATGAGGAAGACGGCGAGGGAGACGAGGATGACGAGGCAGGGGATGCCGAAGCCGAGGCCCCAGCCGACGTTGTCCTGGACGTAGCTGGAGACCATGGTGGTGACGGCGGTGCCGGCGCACATGCCGAAATACCACCAGTTGAAGAAGGAGCTCCGCGCCACGTTCTCCTTGGGGTCCTTCTCGTCGAACTGGTCCGCCGCGAACGCCTGCGCGCACGGCTTGTGCGCGCCCTCGCCCAGCGCCACCAGGTAGAGCGCGACGTAGAAGACGGCCACGTGCCCGCCGGAGCGGAAGATGTGGAACGCCGACGACAGCGACAGCGTGCCCATGCTCTGGATTTGAATCGAACGCAAGAGTCAGGCAGAGTTGGAGATCAATCCCATCTAAACTAGTGCTTGTCATGGACTCTTGTGGTTGGATTGGAGTCGGGAGTTGGGACTGACTTACCACGACGAAGAGGATGGAAGCGAGGACGATGGCCCGGTAGCGGCCGAGCCAGGCGTCGGCGACGCAGGCCACCGGCAGCGGCAGCATCTGAGAGACGCCCTTCCACGCGTCGATGGACGCGGCCGCGCGCGCCATGGGCTGGCCCAGCGGCCCCGTGAGGTACGTGATGAGGTTCGCCGCCACGCCCTTGTACGCGAACCGCTCGGCGATCTCCATTGCTGCATGCGAACAAAACAGTGGCAAGAAACAAACAGACCTACCGGTCAGAACCCGGGCACCGAACAGGCTCGGCGGTCACGTG